CTGTCTCTATGTCTCTCTCTGTCTGTCTGGCGAGCGCACGCGGCCTATAGCAAAAAACCTCTCCAAAAAAAATAATAATGATTTCTTTACTTAATTCAATTTTTTATAATTATTTTTTAATTTGACCAGAGAGAGAGACAGAGAGAGAGAAAAGAAAAGCAAGAAAGCAAGCTGTTCAGGACTCAACCCATGGTCAGCCATGTGGGAATCCAGTGCCTTTAACCACTGTGCCACCTACCGTGCCCAGAGAACTTTAAAATTTCTGAAACACGTTTTCTAGAGAAAAAATTCCACATGTATAATTTGTCATCAATAATAGTTGTTATCTTTTTTTTTAATCTTTTTTTTTCTTGGAGAGATTTTTGCTATAGGGAGCTTACGCTCACCAGACAGAGAGAGACAGAGAGACAGAAAGCGAGAAATCACCCCCCGGGAGGATGGTCACGCTGCAATCCCTTCTCCTCCATTCTCCTCTCGGGATCTTGGGCATGCACATACACGCACCCAGCGTGAGTTTTATGCCACCGGGTCCAGGACGCGAACCGCGGTCGACTACGTGGGAGTCCAGCGACATAGCCATTACGCTAACTGCTAGTTCCCAATTGTTGTTATCTCTGAAAAGTATCAAGAACATTTTCTCTGAGATTTTATGTTATCACTACTTAAAAACTGCTTTACTTCTCATTTGTTATAAGTTGCTTTAAGAAGTATGTTTGTTTAATTTTGATCATATGATTTATCTGTTTCTAGAATGCAGTATAATATTGTAATTAATTTTAGCATAATGATGGTGGTTTTCACAAATGATTTTCAAAGATGGTTATGGATTTTAAGAAGATACAGACTTAAATGTTGATAATCTGTTCAATTGATTGCTGTATCTTGGTCTTTGAAAAAGATGTTCCATACAACAACTATTTCTTAGAAGGGTTTTTATGAGTCAGACACTCAAGTACCACAGTGTTTGAGATCTTATCCTGCCTACTAACTAACAATTTTGCCTGTGACTGTTTTATAACTGTTGGCACAAGACATAAGTCTCCTGGGTCAGAGACAAAGGACTTTATCATCATGGCCAAAGCACTAACCAGGGCTTCATATTCATTTGTGTTGATTTCCCAAGTTCCCTAAGTCTCGTAAGGGTGGCCCCCCAAATCTATCCTATTGGGTTGTTGGGAAAGTCATGACGCACTTTTGCATAGAAAAATACATCATGACTTTCCCGATGACCTAATAGATGCCTATGTACACAGTGAGTTACGTGACAGGAAAGGAACCTAAACTTGGGGGTTTCACCACTTTCATGGAGGAAGCAGCAAGCCTACTTCTTGGCAGGAGGAAAATATTACCTCATCCTTTAAGGTTGCTTATTACAGAGAAAGGGAGTGGTCAGGGCTGTGCATTGTTGGCATATTCCAACAGAATGTGCAGGAGCCAATTGTACTGTGTTAGTGAGAGGAAAATACCAGATGGACTCTTAGAATGAATGGGACCAAATATAAAATACAATTTTCTGTGGAAAAATACCAGACATTTTCATTGAATTTGAGATGTACAACTTTATGTTTCCTCCCCACCTGGATAATGCTGTTGATGAGGTCTATTAGCCTTATAATTGATGAGTATGTAGAAGTTTAATTGGAAATTTACTGGGATTAATATAAAATCATTATTTTGAATATAAGTTTTTTGTTTAACTTAGCTTTTCTTCCTTGATTATTGTTACAGTTTAGTAGTTTTCTCCATGGGGCCAGCAGGTGGCATGGTGATTAAGGTGCTGGACTCCTACATGGTCAACCATGGTTCAAATCCCAGACCTGGCGACTTGCTTTCTCACTTTCCTTTTCTCTCTCTCTCACTGTGACTCTGGTCAAATTAAATAATAATAATAATAACGAATTTTTTAAAAAAATTTAATAAATTATTCTTTAAAAAAAGTTTTCTTCAGACATGACAAATTACAATGTTTCAACATAAAGTGGTGATATTGATAACAACCACCATCACAGCACTAATAATGGGTAACAGTTCTTGAGGATTTACTATGTATCAAGGACTTCTAAATATTAACACACTTAATCCTTAATAATAACCCTATTAAGCAGGCACTGTTGTTTTCCATAAGGAGAAACTAAAGGTACACAATAATTATGTTATTTACCTACTGTCATATAGCTATATTCACCAATTTTCAGCATGGTTGGCAGAAACTGCTAACAGTTGCTAAATTTCTTATATGATATTACAGGAAGACCTGAGTATGACAAGTTTCTGAGCTAGTTAAGTCAATAACCAAACAAAGTCATTGGTGAAATTTATTTCCCTCTTTTTTGAAAGCTCACCATGTATGTAGTGGCTTTGACCTCTGGCCGGCCTCTCATGTGGTCCCAGATGACCATGGCAGTAATGTCCAGAGTCACAGAAGAAACCTCTCCTTTGGTGACCCCTCCATAGGAATGAGAAAGCTTTCCCACTAACCCAAAACAGCCCTTCCCTAAAGTCTTCCTTGCCAGAATCAGGTTCTATACCCACCCTCAGATATCTATTACCAGGAAGAATGGGATCATCATGATAAGATAGAATAGAGAGAAATTACCCTTGGCACTGGGAATACGGCCAACCTCCTCTGAGGACTGTGGAGGCAAATCTGAGGTTCCTCCAGTAAGTGAGAAGAGAGGGATTGCCGGGGCATGGCTTCAGAGTCTGCTCCAGTGGGTCAGCAGAGGAGGCAGGATGGAAGCAAAGACATGTCTTCAGAGCTGTGCTGAATCTGATCAATCTACCTGAGCTTTGTGAATCTCTTTCTTCTTCTTCTTTTTGTTTTTTTATTTTTTTACTTAGCTGACATTTTAGAAACAGTTATGGTAAGTTTGATCACAACGACAGAGAGAGTACATCCAGAAGATTGCCTTATTACTGTTTGAGAAGCCTGCCGTCAGAGGTCTGTAGTGGAATTTCGAAATACTTACTCCTGACCTATTCAGATGTTTTCGGAATAGACTGAAAATCAAATACAGCATGGTGGTGTGATTATCTTAAAGGAGCAGTCCTCAAACATTCATTTTAGAACCTATTTATATTTTTCAAAAGTATTGGGGACATCAAAGGCTTTTAGTTTATGTTGGTTTTATCTTTTTAAATTTTTAAAAATTTTTCCTAGAAAGCACATATGCTTGCTGGAGGGAGACCAAGGGGAAACGTGAGAAAGCATCATTCATGAGGAATGGTTATGCTACAATCCCTTCTCCTCCATTTCTCCCTCCTTGTGGGATTTTGGGCATGCATGCACACATGCCCGGTGTACTTCCCCAGTCACTGGGTCCAGAACTCTAACTGCAGTCAGCCATGTGGGATCGAGCTGCCTTACCCACCATGCCACAGGCTAGCCAGGTTGTATCTATTGCTACTTGCCATATCAGAAATTGTTTAATAAGTAGGGAAATTAAAGCTGCATTTATATTAATTAATTTAAAATAATGATAAATCAATTGTGTGTTAATATAAATGACACATTTTAAAGAAAAACTAGCTATATTCTCCAAAGCAAAAACTTTAATGAGAAGATCACCAGCATTTTACAGTTTTACAAATCTTTTTCATGCCTGGCTTATTGGAAGACAACTGCATTCTCATAGCTGCTTCTGCATTCAGTCTGCCAGGCAGTCATATAACCTGTACCTTCTGAAAGACTCCACTTAATATTTATGGGAGAATGATAGAGAAAAAGACAAATAAGATCTTAACGTTATTATGAAAATAATGTTGATCTTATGTATTTGTTGGAAGAGTATCCTGGAACCCAAATGGTCCTCAGCCCATACACTGAGAACCACTATTTTAAAGTGTCTCTGCTGGATATGTCCATGTTTAATTTATAATTGCTTCCAGCGTAACCCAGAGAATAAATAACAGTAGATAAGATATTAAAAGAAGGGGGCTAGTCAGTGCTGTGGAGGCTGGATCCCACATAGCTGACTGAGTGGTTCGAATCCCAGATCCAGTAGCTTGAAAAACATGCTGAGTTGCAGCCAGCAGGTGGCATGGTGGTTAAGATGTTGGACTCCCACATGGCTGAACTCGATTTCAGTCTTGGACCTGGTGGCTTGCTTTCTCATTTTCCTGTTCTCTCTCTCTCTCTCTCTCTCTCTGTCTCTCTCTGATGACAAGTTGTGCCCTATAGCAAATAAAAATAATAATAATAATAATAAATTAGGGAACCAGCAGTTAGCATAATGGCTATGTCGCTGGACTCCCACGTAGTCGACTGCGGTTCGCTTCCCGGACCCAGTGGCTTAAAACCCACTCCGGGCGCGTGTGCATGCGTGTCCAAGATCCCGAGAGGAGAATGGAGGAGAAGGGATTGTGGCGTGGCCAACCCCCCTGTCTCTCTGTCTCGCTCTGTCTGTCTGGTGAGCGCACACGCCCTATAGTGAAAAACTCTCAAAAAATAATAATAAATTAAATAAACTAAATAATGCAAAAGAAAGAAGAAGGAGCGGAGAGGAGAGGAGAGGAGAGGAGAGGAGAGGACAGGAGAAGAGAGGACAGGAGAGGAGAACATGCTGGGCATGTGTGTATGTTTGTCCAAATTCCTGAAAAAAGAAATGAAGAGGGGATTGGGCTATGACCGTCCCTCATTGGGGTGTACTTTGTCACTTTTCTTTCTATCTCTCTCTGGTGAGTGCATGCTCCCTCTAGCAAATTAAACAAACACTTTAAAAAATGAAAAGAAGTTACTTTATTATGTTTTTAAAAAGTGAGGTTAAGATGAATATCAGTAGAACAGTATGCCATAGTCCAGGAATCTGACTATCCAGCAGAGTGCTTCTGAAAATCCCAAATCATGAGCAGAGAATTTAGAGGTATACTCACTTCACCTATCTCTTGGAATATATAGAATTTGTGTAATAAGATTTATGCAAAAATGTATGCACTAGCATATTTCTAAGGAATTACTTAAGATATAAAGTGTATTGATCTCCTTTTTTTTTTTTTTCCAGACATAACATTTCAGATAATTTAAAGGTTGGCTTTTTCAGCACAGACCATGCTACTCAAACAGACTCCAATGAAATTTTGCCACTTAAAGAACTGAGTTTATCTACGCAGAAGTTAGTGCAGGTAAATCTGAATTTATTTTGAAACTTCTGAGATAGTTTTAGGCATTATTTTCCTTCGCGTCTCATTCGTTGGCAGAATTGCAATGATGAAAAGACTTTAACTATTAGCATCTTAAGACTGAATGATAGCTGTCTTTTTAAAAAGCATTAATATAAGCAGCTACTTATGTCATATTTATGTCATGCTTCCATATGTTAACTTGTTTAGTGAAATGTTTTGTTACTCTCAAATTCTTCTGACATCTGTGAATACTTTCTATTCATAGTACTTTAAAAGAATTCAAAATACTGGGCCAACTGGTGCCATAGTGGTAAGGTGGTTGGATCCCGCATGACCTGTCACACAGTTTAAGTTCTGGACCTAGTAGCTTGAAAACTGGGCTGGGTACAAGTCCGTGCATACCCAGAACCCAAGAGAAGAATGGAGGAGAAGGGATTATGGTGTGACCACCCCTCAGGGGGTGATTTGTCACATTCTCCGCCCCTCCCCAACACCCACATGCCCTATAGCAACTTAAAAAGCAAACAAAAAGAATTATGAAATATTTTTGCATATGGATGAATGTAGAGAATATTATATAATGAATAGCTGTGTTATCCACCATACAGCTGTGTCAAATATTGACATTCTACTATGTTTCCTTTGGATATCTTTATTATAAAGGAATAGAATATTGAATTTACATCAGATATCAAGAGTTATGATGGGGACCAGCAGTTAGCGTAATGGTTATGTCGCTGGACTCCCATGTAGTCGACTGCGGTTTGAGTCCCGGACCTGGTGGCTTAAAACTCATGCCGGGCGTGTGTGCATGCATGCCCAATATCCTGAGAGGAGAACGGAGGAGAAGGGATTGTGGCATGGCCATCCCTCCTGGGGGATGATTTCTCACTTTCTGTCTCTCTGTCTCTGTCTGGCGAGCACACATGCCCTATAGCAAAAACCTCTCCAAAAAAAAAAAAAAAAATAGAGTTATGATGAAAAGCCCTAACTGAAAAAACTGTCACATGGTAGCATGCTGTGATACTCCTGTGTACCTTGCCTTTTTGTTGCTGATGTTTGTTTGTTTCATTTAATACAACTTGGAAATCGCTCCATATGACTTACATAGAGTTTCTAATTTGTTTGAAAAGAACATTGTATCACAGAACATGCATCATAGTTAGCTTTCCCTCTTTGATGGACATTTTGATAATTTCTAATCTTTTGCTGTGATGAATAATCCTGCACGTACTCAGGTGCCAGTAAATCTGTGGTGTAAATTCTTAAAAATGGAATTTCTGAGTCAGAGGATGTACATATTAGTCATTCTGAAGGATACTGCCAAATGGCTCTGCATGGAGATTATACCAACTCACGTTCTCACTGGTTACTTTGGAGGATGTTTGTTTCCTACATACTTGTCAATTTACTGTCTTTATTCTTTCAGAAAAATTTTATAATTTTATTCCTTTAAACCCCTCCAAAAAAAAAAAAAAAAAATAGAGTTATGATGAAAAGCCCTAACTGATAAAACTGTCACATGGTAGCATGCTGTGATACTCCTGTGTACCTTGCCTTTTTGTTGCTGATGTTTGTTTGTTTCATTTAATACAACTTGGAAATCGCTCCATATGACTTACATAGAGTTTCTAATTTGTTTGAAAAGAACATTGTATCACAGAACATGCATCATAGTTAGCTTTCCCTCTTTGATGGACATTTTGATAATTTCTAATCTTTTGCTGTGATGAATAATCCTGCACGTACTCAGGTGCCAGTAAATCTGTGGTGTAAATTCTTAAAAATGGAATTTCTGAGTCAGAGGATGTACATATTAGTCATTCTGAAGGATACTGCCAAATGGCTCTGCATGGAGATTATACCAACTCACGTTCTCACTGGTTACTTTGGAGGATGTTTGTTTCCTACATACTTGTCAATTTACTGTCTTTATTCTTTCAGAAAAATTTTATAATTTTATTCCTTTATAACTACATGTGCCCAAATGACTAAATTCTGGTCAGTAGGATTAGGGTGGATATGGTATGTGGCAGCTTTTGGGAACATCCTTTAAGATACAGCTTCATGTACCCTCTGCCACTTCTTTCCTCCTCCCTTCGATCTCGTACTTTTCCTTCCTTGTCTCCCTCTTCTCCTCTCCTCCCTCTCCCTGCCTTCTTTCCTTACCTTATTTCATTGACTAGAATATGGATATTACCATTTGGCCCATGAGGATGAGACAGTATACAGAATGGATGAAAGGTAGAAGAATCTTAGGTTGTTTTGCCCATTGGGTGCCTAGATGGATATCTAGGGAAGTAAAATAAATTTATTGCTCATTTGTGCTTCTGTTACATGAATTTTTTGATGTAGCTGAACCAAAATCTGATATATTTAAATTAGATTAAGGTTGCTTTCTTCTCTAGTAAGAGGCATTAAGAAACAATAAAACCATCATCAAATAACTAGATTTGACTGCTTTCCAAGGATCTATTCAGATGATTATACAATCATATGGCTTTTCTTTTTTTTCTAATACTGTGGTAAAGTTTGTTTGTTTGTTTGTTTTTTCTTTTTTTGGAGAGGTTTTTGCTATAGGGTGCATGTGCTCGTCAGACAGACAGAGAGAGACAGAGAGACAGAAAGCGAGAAATCACCCCCCCAGGGGGGATGGTCACGCCGCAGTCCCTTCTCCTCCATTCTCCTCTCGGGATCTTGGGCACGCACGCACACGCGCCCGGCGTGAGTTTTAAGCCACCGGGTCTGGGACGCGAACCGCGGTCAGCTACGTGGGAGTCCAGCGACATAGCCATTACGCTAACTGCTGGTTCCCGTAAAGTTTGGTTTTTGAACTTGATTTTTGATTCAGGAATTGAGAATCCCTAAAATGAACTCAACTGAATCATAATATTTCTTTTTGCACCTCTGCATCATTTGTCACATTTTATTAAGGATTTTTTTTCTATGTTTGTGAGGTTATCCTATAATTTTCTTATACTGCTATTTAGTCTTGGTAGTAAGGTCAAAATATCTTCATCAAATGAGTTGAGAAGTATTCTTTGGAGTCTGTTCTCTGGAAAAGTGGGCATGAGATTGGAATTTTGTTTATTCAATGTTTATTAGAATTTGCATAAGAACTCTGTACTTATTATCATTTTTTTAAATGTTACTATAGGGTGAGTACTTGCTGGAGACAAAGAGAGAAGGAGAGAAAGAAAGAAAAAGCAAGAAAGCACCCCACAGGAGAAATGACTAAATAATAATTATTTCGCCTCCATTCTCCTCTCAGGATTATGGGCACATATGCACATGTGCCCAGTGTGTTTTTCAAACCACCAAATCTAGGACTTGAACTTTGCAGTTGGCGATGTGGGAGCCACCTACTTTAACCACTATATTACCTGACTGTCCCACTCTCATTCTGTGCTTATTTTTATTGTTATCATTATTTTATTATGGATATATTTCGTTTTCTTACATCTTCTTGGGTCAGTTTGATGTTATGTTTTTCTGCAAAAATATTTTGCTAAATCTTCAAACTATTGGTATAATATTGACTATCATCATTTCTTATTTTTTTTTTTCTAATTGCTAGAGGTCTGTGTGCTCACCAGAGAAAATCAGAGAAAAGAGAAGAGGGGGAGGAAGCACCCTTCCCAGTGGGGTTTTGACATACCACTATCCCTTTTATTCCACTTCATCTTGTTGGGATTCTAGGCATGCACACACACATGCCTGGAGTGTGTATCAAGCCACTGTGGCTGGAATGTGCGCTGCAGTCAGCTATGTGGGGTCTGGCTCTCTCTCTTTTTTCTTTAACAAAGTTTTGCTATAGGGCACATATGTTCTCCAGAGAGTCAGAGAATGATAGAGAAACAGAAAACGAGAAGTCACCCCCAAGGGGGATGGCCACTCCGCAATCCCTTCTCCAGTCTCCTCTTGGAATTTTGGGCATGCATGCACATAAACCTGATGTGAATGTTAAGCTGCCGGGTCCAGGACTTGAACCAAAGTCAACTACATGGGAGTCCAGTGATGTAACCATTACACCATCTGCTGGTCCTAGATCTGGTTCTCTTAACCACTAGGCCATAGGACCATCCCTTTTCTTATTATTTTAAACTATTTATTGTATCTATAGTTATATGATAGGACTTCAAAAAGTTTAGGTATAAATGGAATTAATGTCTGAGTATTTTAGTGCAAATTGAAATCCATGCATAGTTTTTTCCTAATACACAATTTCCAGAGACTTTTTGAAAATCCCTTGTATTTGATTTTTGAATCAGTTGAATAATTTGTCCCACAGTCACAAAATTAGATATTATTATGGCCATGCTCTGGAAAAAGAAATACAGGTTTTGAGTATCAATCAGCTACTGCTTATTTGGAAGTTATTTGGATTCAAACTATGGACTTTGTCTCTTGGTTTAATTCTTTCATCTATAGGTAGGCTGCTTATAGTCTGCCTCATGTATGTGTGTTTCAGGAATGACCCAGAGGTCATTTTAATTAATTTATTTTTTAAAGAGGTTTTTGTCTTAGTGTGCATGAACTCACTGGGAAAAGAGAGAGAGACAGAGACAGTGAAAGGGAAAGTGAGAAGTCACTTTCTGACAAGTGGCCACACCTCAATCCCTTCTCCTCATGGGATCTAGGGTACACATGCACATATGCCCAGTATGAGTTTTAAGCCACCAGATCTGGGACTTGAACCGCTGTCAGCCATGTAGGAGTCCAGCAACATAACTGCTATACTATCTGCTGGCACCGAGGTTTGTTCAGCTTTCACACTAATTGTAGAGTTCATCTCTTTGGTTGTTTTCCTTCTGGAAGTTGTACACAAACACTGTCTCTTAACATCTCAAAGTCTCGATATCATCATCTGACAAATAAAATCTTCCACATACTCTAAGCATACTAAAATGGGATTCTTTTCAGGACGCCCGTATGCCAGTTATCAAATTCCAAATTGAGTGTGCGTTAGATACCATTCGCAGAGTTTGCAAAGGGAATGTTGCATATTAGAGTAATGGCTCTCCCCTCTTGAATCAGAGCAAAGGTAAAAAGGGTCAGGGGTGAAGAGTAGCCATTGAAGAGGTTTCCTTAGAAAGAGCTATCTCCATGGCCCTCTAGCAGTAGAAGCAATTGTCTGTTACTCAGAGGCAGGCTTCCATGGAACATGAGATGTATTTGCTGCTATTGGAAGACATAAAGGATAGTGCTTGATCCCTGTGTAAGGAAGCTGAAGTGGGCTGTGAAGAGAAGACAGAATGGCTACATTGGGAATGAGTCTGCACTAATGATGGGGCAAGGGATGTGTAATGGTCTTCCGTGGACCAAATGTAGCCAGAGAGAAAACCAGTGTGGGGTCATTCTGGGTCCTCTCTAGTGAAGTGATCTGAAAGGACAGGAGGACTCCTGACAACAAAGAGAAGGAAGAGGTGAACTTCAGATTCCCAGGGGCTACGGAAGGAGTAGCAGGGACCACTTCAAGTAGAGAAGCATCTGCTGGGGTCAAGACTGATGTACAGCAGAGTCCCAGCACCTGGAATCCCCAGAGAACCTTTTTGAGTGCCCAAGGGAAGAAGAGTTAGTCCTCATGCCCTTGCAGACCAACATGAAGCTGCCCCACCAGGTGGGAACAGCCTTGCCACTTTATGCCTTCTGCCTCATTCCTTGCAGAGACATTGCTGCTAGGTGTCAGGAAGAAGGTGAGAGAGGAAAGAGCCCAAGAGAGAATCATGCTTTTCTCTAAAGACAGGCAGCTGTCAATCACTGTCCTTGGTTTGGAGCGCAAGAAGAAATTTTTCCTTTGAATAGAATTAGAAGCATTATAACTCATAGTAGTCATATTCTTCTTTTTTGTTGTCTTTTAATTTGTCAAAGGGCATGTGCACTCACTAGAGAGAGAGACAGAGAGAGAGGGAGAAGGAGAAAACACCCCCAATGGAAAACGGCCAGCCACAATCCCTTCTCCTCCACGTCTCTGTCCACACACACGTGTCTAGCATGTTTTCAAGCTGTTAGAGCTGGGATTCGAACCACACAATTGGCCATGTAAAATCTGGCTCTCTTACTCACCAGGCCATGGGGCCAGCCCTGTAGTAGTCATCTTCTAAATGCTGTTTTGAGTTTTAGTAGGACTTTCTCTTTTTTTAAAGAGGTTTTTGTCACAGGGTGCATGAGCTCACTGGAGAGAGAAACAGAGACAGAGATAGTGGAAGGGAAAGCAAAAAATCCCCCTCCCAGGGGGGATGGCCATTCTACAGTCCCTTCTCCTCCATTCTCCTCCCAGGATCTTTGGCATGCACACATGTCCGGTGTGAGTTTCCGGCCACCGCTCTAGGACTCGAACCACAGCTGACCATGTGGGAGTCCAGTGACATAACCACTATGCAATCTGCTGGCCCCAAGTTTCTTTCTTTCTTTCGAGAGATTTTTGCTGTAGGATATGTGCACATGTCAAAGAGACAAAGTGAGGAATCACCCCCTGAGGGATTGCTACACCGCAATCCTTTCTCTTCCATTCGCAGAATTTTAGGCACGCACGCACATGTGCCCTGTGTGAGTTTTAAGTCTCCGGGTCTGGGACTTGAATCAAGGTCAACTACATGGGAGTCCAGTGATGTAACCATTACACCGTCTTCTGGTCCCTATAATAGGACTTTCTATTTCCAGGAATCAACAGAAAAAGTCATGGGATTTCGTAAAGTTTCTATTCAGTGTCAAGGCAGATTACTCTGTGAATACAGTTGAAATGAGTGATGAAAGATAAAAATATATTGTCATTTGGTTATCATAAATGGTTCTTAGTCAACACAGTGGTTATATATCTAAATGCCTGGCTAGTAGATTTTCAATAATATTGTTTCTTGCCCACTTTTTTTTTTTTTTGCCCACTTTTTTTTAAAGAGAGATTTTTTTTGCTATAGGGTGTGCACACTTGAAAAAATTTTTTTTTTCCCCCTTTTTTTTTTTTTTTTGCCCACTTTTTTTTAAAGAGAGATTTTTTTTGCTATAGGGTGTGCACACTTGCCAGAGAGACAGAGAGACTGAAAGCTAAAAATCACCCCCCTGGGGCGATGGAGGGGGGATGGCCATGCAACAATTCCTTCTCCTTCATTCCCCTTTTGGGATCTTGGGCACACACGTGCGTTCCCAGCATGAGTTTTAAGTCACCAGGTCCAGGACTCAAACTGTGGTCAATTACAAGGGAGTCCAGCGACATAACCTTTATGCCATCTGCTCTCTTGGGCATCCCTCTTGCCCTTGTTTTCTTATCTGAAATCCACATCTTGAAAACTACATCTTTGGAGATATGACAAAGGTCATGGTTAACACAGCTATTTCATTCTGTATGGGAAGAAACTGATCTGAACCTCCTCTCTCCTCCATTACTGTATCTTACTTTAGCAAAGTAACTGTCATTTTGAGAGCCCAGACACAATGGGATGAGATTACTGGAATTCCTCAATGTATACAATATTTGAAAGGTGATCTTAAAATGCAAGACAGTCCCTTGATTGGGTACCCAGTTTCTATGTCCAGAACAAGAGAACATGCTGAAGTCTTTCAGACCCCAGAATATATATAACTCTTTATAATAATGTATATTTTTCCATTTTTAGCTTATCAAATCGCTTCAGGTGGATTTTGGGTTCCTCAAACAATTGCTTCAGTTGAAGTTTGAGGACCGACTTAAAGAAGAATCTTTCAGTCTCTTCACTGTTCTGAATGACAAGATCCTAGAAATAGAAAAACATTATCAACAGGTAGAAGTTCTCTCATTTCCTTTGTTTTATATGTGGATTGACCTTATGCTGAAATGTGTATGTGTTACAATTTTTATTTAATTTGCGTAGACTGTCTTCTGTAACAGCTAATACATAGCTAGTTCTGCTGCTACGGGATGACTTCTGTGACGAGATCCAGGTTTTTGGTGTTTCTGACAAAGAACTGAACAAAATACACCAATAGTGAATGGAAAAGGTAGCTTATTGAGTCAAAGTGGAAGTGCACTCCTGAGAGGTAGGAGCAGGCCTGAGCAGACAGAGAAAAAGTGGCTCAAAAGGCCCTGGCCCTGGCAGTTGCATTCGGTGATATTTATAACTTCTTTTTTTTTTTTTTTTTTTTAGTGATTTTTGCGATGGGGCACACACACTTGCCAGAGAGACAGACAGACAGAAAGCAAGAAATTACCTCCCAGTGTGGTGACCATACCATAGTCCCTTCTCCATTCTCCTCTCAAGATTTTGAACACGCATGGATGCACAACCTGTGTGAGTTTTAAGCCACAGGGTCCAGGACTCGTACCATAGTCTACTACATGGGAGTCCAGTGACTTAACCATTATACCATCTGCTGGTCCCAAGATTTATAATTTTTTAATCTAGATCATGTCAGTAGATCATTGGCTGGGCCCACTAATGGTTCTTAACTCATTGGCTCTATCAAATGTGGCTGGGCACACTGACTCATCTCATTGGCTATGTCAAATGCGGCTGGGCAAACTGACTCAACTCATTGACTATGTCAAATGTGGCTTAATTAGACATCCATCCCCCACTTATCTCTTGCCTACATTACCTTGGGTGGGGAATTTTCCAGCCTGATCTGTTTTTTGTTTTTGTTTCTTTTTTAAATCTAGTCACATGGGCAGATGTTCCAGCCTTCTTACCCACTTCCATTTGCTGGCTTTCTTCTGCCTCACTACTATCAGGGTCAGGAAGTTTTGGAAGTACTTTGCGTATGAACTCATTTAATTTTCACAATAACCTTATGAAGTAGGTACAGTGATGTTCCCCTTTTAGGTGAGAAAACTGAGACACAGAAAGGTTAATTACCTTGCCAAGGTCACCAGTTAAAATTAACGGCAGTGTTTAGGTTCCAGGCCAGAGAACTTGATGCTTCAGTTCTTGTTCTTCACCAATTTTATATGATCTTATTTGTGCTCTAAAGACTATAGAAACCAAAGACAAGAAAACCACTTCAAGGAAGCTCCTAAAACCTTTGGTCAGGGTAGCACACCGATCTGACATTCAGAACAGGCATATTATTTCTATGCTATAAAACAAAACAAAACAAAATCTTTTGCTGACTGTACCAGGCCAAGACTTTAAATACATTTACTCTTTTAGTTTCTCAAACTCCAAAGCTAAAAACCCTCTTAATCCTGGCCTACAGATAAATAAACTGAGCTTGCCAAGGCTAAGTAACTTGTTTAAGGTCAGATAGTAAGTGGCACAATGATATTTAAATTCAATCCTATCTGACCCTAAGGCCTATCTACAGTTTACCTTCCATGCAGGACTCAGAAGTGATAGCAGAGTCAAGGGCATTTAAAAGAATGCTTTTTCTTTCATCATTATCCTAAGCAGACATAATCCAATTATTAGATTAATTAGAAAATTGACTCTAGTTACAGATTAGCCACCCTAGCTTTTTTCATGAGCATATCCCAGTAAAAACGTACAACAATCAGAAGATGTGAGCCACAGATAGATTTTACTGCTTTTAAAAGTAGTTGTAGGAAGGCACTAGGAGGCTTTAACTGATGTGCAAAATAGGTGAAGTGCTCAGCTGACATGCATTTATTCTCTCCGTATGTTCTCTCTATTGCTTTTGGCTAAGTATGAGTAAAAATGGAATGTGTCATAATAACTGTACTGTCACATGGTTATACAGGTTTCAAGAGTTGTGATGAGTTGGGTGATGGTTTTTCACTGAATCCTCTCCTGGCAGGTGGGAGTTGTACTCGGAAATACATTGCAGTGCTCATTGTATTTACTTCTGGTTTGCAGAATGAGGAGAACATGAGAAAATGCTTCCAGCAGCAGTTAGCCGATGCCATAGCCGTCATCAAGGGAATGTACCAGGTGGGTTTCAGGCGCTGTCAGAGGCAAGCCTGGCAGCCCCGGTGAGTGCGTGGGGTCTGGCTCACCTTGGATGCCCAGTCTGTTTTTAGCTTTGAAGGTCTGTTTTTTTCAGTGTTGTTACCACAGACTGTTTATGCTCACATGAAATCTATCATTGGGTGGGGAATTTTCCAGCCTGATCTGTTTTTTGTTTTTGTTTCTTTTTTAAATCTAGTCACATGGGCAGATGTTCCAGCCTTCTTACCCACTTCCATTTGCTGGCTTTCTTCTGCCTCACTACTATCAGGGTCAGGAAGTTTTGGAAGTACTTTGCGTATGAACTCATTTAATTTTCACAATAACCTTATGAAGTAGGTACAGTGATGTTCCCCTTTTAGGTGAGAAAACTGAGACACAGAAAGGTTAATTACCTTGCCAAGGTCACCAGTTAAAATTAACGGCAGTGTTTAGGTTCCAGGCCAGAGAACTTGATGCTTCAGTTCTTGTTCTTCACCAATTTTATATGATCTTATTTGTGCTCTAAAGACTATAGAAACCAAAGACAAGAAAACCACTTCAAGGAAGCTCCTAAAACCTTTGGTCAGGGTAGCACACCGATCTGACATTCAGAACAGGCATATTATTTCTATGCTATAAAACAAAACAAAACAAAATCTTTTGCTGACTGTACCAGGCCAAGACTTTAAATACATTTACTCTTTTAGTTTCTCAAACTCCAAAGCTAAAAACCCTCTTAATCCTGGCCTACAGATAAATAAACTGAGCTTGCCAAGGCTAAGTAACTTGTTTAAGGTCAGATAGTAAGTGGCACAATGATATTTAAATTCAATCCTATCTGACCCTAAGGCCTATCTACAGTTTACCTTCCATGCAGGACTCAGAAGTGATAGCAGAGTCAAGGGCATTTAAAAGAATGCTTTTTCTTTCATCATTATCCTAAGCAGACATAATCCAATTATTAGATTAATTAGAAAATTGACTCTAGTTACAGATTAGCCACCCTAGCTTTTTTCATGAGCATATCCCAGTAAAAACGTACAACAATCAGAAGATGTGAGCCACAGATAGATTTTACTGCTTTTAAAAGTAGTTGTAGGAAGGCACTAGGAGGCTTTAACTGATGTGCAAAATAGGTGAAGTGCTCAGCTGACATGCATTTATTCTCTCCGTATGTTCTCTCTATTGCTTTTGGCTAAGTATGAGTAAAAATGGAATGTGTCATAATAACTGTACTGTCACATGGTTATACAGGTTTCAAGAGTTGTGATGAGTTGGGTGATGGTTTTTCACTGAATCCTCTCCTGGCAGGTGGGAGTTGTACTCGGAAATACATTGCAGTGCTCATTGTATTTACTTCTGGTTTGCAGAATGAGGAGAACATGAGAAAATGCTTCCAGCAGCAGTTAGCCGATGCCATAGCCGTCATCAAGGGAATGTACCAGGTGGGTTTCAGGCGCTGTCAGAGGCAAGCCTGGCAGCCCCGGTGAGTGCGTGGGGTCTGGCTCACCTTGGATGCCCAGTCTGTTTTTAGCTTTGAAGGTCTGTTTTTTTCAGTGTTGTTACCACAGACTGTTTATGCTCACATGAAATCTATCAAAATAACACTTAGTGGTGACAGATACAGCTTCCCAGAAATTGGAAAATTCCAATCCGGTATCCAAGGCAAGTATGGAAGGAATCCAAGACAGTGAGGATGCCATTGGATAGCCAATGTCAGATAGTCAAAAGGAGTTCATGGGATCTGTAGCCCACACCCAGGAGCAATCCTTGACCCTCAATTGAGTAACTTTTCTAACAATCGGTGCCAAAGATATTGGGGTGCACAGCCCAATACCAGTGCTAGATTGAGGACCGAGAGATGACTAGGTTCTTGTCTCATCCTCACGAATATTAACACATGGACAAATGAAGGACCAGCAAAGCGGAGATGAATGAAGTAGAGGAAAGCCCCCAAACAGGGAGGGGTCCTAGAAAAGGGTTACAACTTGGGACTCTTGACAGGGATTTTTTCCCTAGGAGTCTGAGCCGTGGGCTGGCTCTCTGATAAAGAAGTGGGCTTCAGAAAATAGTTACCTTGTAGTCTGGATGATTTATTACCCCATTCTTTGGGTGAGCAGACCATACCCATCTGAACTTCTCATTAGAGTGTAGTTAGCAAATAGAAACTGTTGCCTTAGCTGTACTAATTTAGAAGCCTAATGCAGCCAGCTCTTTGTTGCCTTAGCCATTATAGCCAATCTTGGGTAAAGCTTGCTGTGTCAGGCCTTCACCCTGTCTGTATGTTTAATATCCTTACCTCCTGCATTATAGGGACATTGTTATCTGCCAAATGGGGCTTCACTCTACACCACGGGGGAACTCATACTTTCCTTTAAAAAAAAAAAGATTTAGAAGGTCTTTGGGGTTCTTTAAGTATTTATAACTGATCTCATCTTTCACTTTAATATTCTTTCATAATTTTTTAATATTTACAGTGAATTTTACACTGATTAAAATGTATTTTCATAGCACATTTGCCTTTAATTGTGCTTGTTAAATGTCTGTTCTGCCCAGCTGTAAGCCTTATGAGTACAGGGTAAGTCTTACTGCTGTGGTCCTGCCTCTTCACCCTGTGCCTGGTGCATAATCAATGTACAGAATGAATGCCTATCTTGATGGTCCTGTTCAACAGTCCTTCTCCCCATCTGCACATCTGTCCCTTCTGTTTTTATTTTTTGTAACTCTAGAAGCACTTTCAACAATAGGAGGCAAAATGCTAGACACTTTGTTTACAGCTTCCTTTTCAACTATGGCAGGGGCATGTGCAAACTCAGGTCCCTGACCAATGGGGTCTGAAGGTAAGTTGACCATGAGGTGCTTTGGGGAATAGGTGTGTGGGGGGGTGATTTCTCTCTGTCTCTCTGGTGAGTACACATACTCTATAGCAAAAATCTCTCAAAATAAATAAAATTAAATAAATAAATAAAAGGGACTCATGAGAGAAAACATTCCTTTATTCATTCATTCATTATTTAGCTTGACATTGTTATGTGGCCTTCTGTTGCTTGAAATTGCTGCAGCCGACCTGAAAGCAAGGACTGAGAAAGAGGATGTGCTGAGGTGGCAAAGGGAATGGATGGAAGGCAGCGGGATCTTTGGTGGCCTCATTGAGCAGCCAAAGTCACCCTGGACTTGCCTTGCCTCACCTTGCCTCTTGCCCTTTTTATATTTTTTTCTTCCCTTTTAATGAGATAAGAAGCCCTCAGTGTTTAAGCAAGTGTTACTTGGCTGCTCAGTTACTTGCAGCTAAAGATATTTGGGGGCCCATTGCTCTGTCCATAGTCTCTGTGCTTCCAAAGGTAGACACAACACTGTCTCCTCCCCCCCCCCACCTGCTTTTCAACGATGTTACCTTGCTTGTAGGTCACAGAGATCACAGTCTAATTCCCTCCCTTGAAGGACTCTCCTTACTGACTTGCTTACAAACACAGAATGTGGAGGAAGTGAGGTTGTACGATTACCATGGCGGGGTCCAGAGAGGCCTTGCAACTTTACCAGGGTACTCTCAGAGCAGCTTCTCTCTGGATTCTCCCTCTCTGGGTCCAGTCGCGCCAGTTGAAGCCTATCCATGTGGAGGATCTGGATGTAGGTTGTGAGTCTCCAGGTTCACTTAGCCCAGCTTCCAAGGTATCTCATCCCAGCTGTCAAAAATCTTTGTTAAAAAGCCTCCAAATGACTCCAGGCACCAGTTGGCTGAGTCTTTCCATCCAAGACTGGCCTCATCGAGCCAAGATGATCATCCTTGCCAGGCCGGTCCTAATTCCCTAACTCACAGAGCTGATGAGCATGATAATCGGTTGGTGCTCTCTGCGCCTACGTTTGGAGAGATATGTTATGCAACAGTAAGTAGATAGCTGGAACAGTATGCTCACACTCAATAAGCAACTTCTCAATGAAATGTGTTAGATTACTTCTTTGACGTCTCCTAGCTCAGTTGAGTGACAAAGTAAAGAGTTAGCATAGTATATGTTTTAGAGCAAGGACTCTGGAGTCAAACTTCCTTGGTTCAAATCCTAGCTCTGCCAGGATTAGTTAGTATGTGATCTTAGGCAAAGTACTGAATCTCTATCTCACTTTCTTTATCTGTCAAATGAGAAATATAATTGTACCTACCTCGCAGATGTTCTGAAGATAAAAAGGATTGATCTTCGTGAAGCATGTAGAGTAGTGCCCGGCCCAGGGAAGGGCAATCTGAGTGTTTGTAGAACCACCCTCCTCACATGTTCGTGCACTTCTTGGTTTCAGTGGCTCTTCTGCCCTGTAGCATCTTAGCCCAGTATTTAAGCTTGTAGCTTTCTGGCTGCTGACTGCAGATTTCAGATATAGCAAAGTGACCTCAAGACATCCGTAATCATTATCAGTATTCGTCAGGATTGAACCATTCGAATTTGTTATTTTTACAGTCAAGAAAGTCAAAGATCAGTATTTTATATGGTTTGATCTAAGACATATATACTTATTTTAACAAATAAAATGCAGCAAGTTCTGTGGCTGCCATTTTGTGTTGGTGGCCAAGATAAAGTAGATGTATTTGAGGGACCTTTGGTGCAAGTCTGGTCTGCCCAGGGGAGTGAAAGTCCCGCAACTGAGACTCTCGGTGGCCTAATGCAGAGGAAAATTCCGGTGGTGGCCGCTTAATTTTGGTTTCTTCAGGCTCTAGCGGGAACGCGACCCAAGAACCGGCATTGATGGCTAGGTCACTGCTGTCTGAGAAGCAGTGTGTGTCTGGGCCTGATTTAAAGCTGGATTCTAACTGCTCTTCTGCCTGCTCCATGAAGTTCAAAGCAATGAAATGCCAAAAACCTCAGTGAAACTGAAATAGGTGAAGGTCTTTACTCCCGCCAGCTGTATGTGCCGGGTCACGAGGCCACGAAGCATCTCCAGTCGTCCAGAGTGCTGCTATCAGGTCTGCAGGAGCTAGGTGTAGACATCGCCAAGGACATCATCTTGGTGGAGTCAAA